GAAAGAAAGTGGAAAATCCACTTTGAAGACTGACAAAAATTGAGAAAATCTAGGTTCCCATTAACACATACAGACTATAGCTTTTTCCTTGTTAGACAGAATCACATCCATGCAAAAAGCCTAACGTTAAGTTGACTCCCAACTCCCCTACCCACCCCCACCCCTCATTATTATTCCTGACTTTGGTAGAACCAAAAGCTTACAATATCAAAAGAACTCATTAATTCTTATTCAAAGCTTTTGCTCTATCTCTTTCATTAACACTTCTTTCTTCTTCCTTTTATCACTCTATAGCCATGTTTGGCTTTCTCATTCTCATTCTCATTCTCAGGGGCGGCTCAATAATATTAGTGTCTAAAACCAAAGTTTAATGGAACTATCCATCTGAAATCTAAAAGGCCTCAGTTTTTTCTTCGACCCATTTGCCCATTTCATATATCCGACCCGACCCAATATGTACAAGAACCAGTTACAAGAGTTAGCACAGAGGAGCTGTTTCAATTTGCCCTCTTACGTATGCATCAGGGAAGGTCCGGACCACGCGCCGCGTTTTAAAGCTATCGTTAACTTTAATGGCGAGAATTTTGAGAGCCCTCACTACTGTACCACTCTCCGTCAAGCTGAGCACGCTGCAGCTGAAGTTGCCCTTAACGCCCTCTCTAACCGTGGCCCTTCTCACTCCCTTGCCGCGCGTATACTCGTAAGTGTATTCCTCTTTTTGCTGTTGTCTTCCGTTAGGGTTCCGTCAGCATTTTGCCGTGTTTTTCGCCGGAGTTTTGCTAATGTGCGCCGTGTGTGTTGACTGTGTTAATGCGTGCACATGTTAACTGTCCTTTTTCGAGCTCCTAACCGGAATTGATGACTCCGGTTTATGAGGTTGGTTGGGAAAATTAATGGGTGTTGAATTGACCAAAATGTCCTTATCCTGGTTTTAGAATTTAAGTTCTATGTAAAAATATTTACCAATCAAAGTTATTGCATTTAACTCTATTTAAAACTTCTTACATTGATAAATAACCTAGAATAAGTAATAGAGTTTAAGTTATATACTCCTTCCGTCTACTTTTGATTTTGCACTAAAAATAAATAAAGCATGTATTTTATAATTCTACCCATAATAATGATAGCATTTTCAAAAGTCTTTAGAAATAATTTAGGGAATGAGTAATTAACAATAAAGGTAAAACATGGGTAAAATAATTGTACAAGTAAAAGTAAACGGAGGGAGTACATCATTAGTGTAAGTTCATCTTTACATGTTGTAGCCGGCGGTGGAGCTAGGATTTTCAATAAGGAAAGTCAAGGGGATTTGTAAAAAATAAAAATTGACCTATCTACATAATATAATTTTCCGACGAAGGGATGTCAATTGACTTCCCTCGGCAAAGAGTGGCTCCGTCACTGGCCGTAGCATGTAAAAATTCTGTAGTTTAAGGAGACTTACTTGTATATTATTTGATAGTGTAAAAATTATTACTGATTCTAAGAAATAATCTATTATAACAGATTAAATTAAACAGATTGGTGTAAAAACTCAAATATACTATTAATTTATTTAACTTGACTAAACATGTATTAAAATGCAGCTGTAGATTTTTTTATTTTTTTATTGGAAAGAACTTGGTTAATGAAAGTAGTGGGAAAAAGAAAAAGAAAAAAGTTTAGGGGAAGTTTCGTGGAGGGGCCATAACTAACACATAAGGTATTTCTTGTCTTCACATTTGCATAACAGCTGTTTAGGGTCTCCTTGTACTGTTTTCATAATTAATTTCCTTAAATGAGGGTATTTTAGTACTCGACTATTACATTTTTAGCTTTTTACTTCTTTTTTTTTTTTCCATATCACAAGTGATTTTGCATATTAATTTTGCTACCTACCTCACTGATTCTAATCTTAAAGACCCCCATATTAAATATGTGTGGAAAATGTAGATGAGACCTGTCAAAGGTGGTAGGAATCAGTCAACATTTGAATTGGTTTTTCATAGATTTGTATTATGAATAATAATTAACGTTTGAGGTTATGTGATAAAGACATATAATTAAAAATTACTGAGTTCCTACTTTATTAATTAGTATTCAACCGATTAAGATGTCGAAATAAGTAGGTATACATTGAAAAAATGAATGCGGTAACTGCCTAAGCTTATGTGATTTATTCCTATCTGCTTAAGTTTTGGTGAACAAAATTACTCGTTTCATGTACGTATGGGAAGTAACGGGTGGTCGGTCAAATAGTTGAGGTGATGCAGGTTGATTCGACCACCACCACCAACAACAAAACCAGTGTAATTCCATAAGTGGGGTTTGGGGAGAATAGTGTCTACGCAAACCCTACCCTACCTTGGTAAGATAAAAATGTTTGTTTCCGGTAGACCCTCGACCCGATCACCAATGTTATTAGAAAAATGAATGTGTCAATTTTGAGTTTGGCACATGTGTGGAAGCTAGGAAACTTAGTGTTGAATTAATTTGAATCTAGAAGCCAATCAAGAAATTAATTTGGATCTAGAAGCCAATCAAAATTTTTTAATTTGAATCTAGAATTACTTCTATATTATTGACAGAGAATGAACATGGGGCATTGTTGACTTTGATCATGTGTGTGAACTCTGGCTCATTCATTGTAATAATCTTTAATATTGAGGGTAAGTATATGACGTATCAAAATATTGGGTATTAAATGAGGTATTTGGTTCAGTATGATTTAGCCCAATCTTCCTATTTATAGCTTTGTCTCCCTCATATAAAATTTGTTCTATTTTTTAAGAAGCACATGCATGTGACCGTCCATTTCCATGAGGTCTCTTAGTATTAAACTGCCATATGCTGCATTTATGTGTGACTATTTAAATAACATGGTGAATTTCCAGTCTATACAGAACTGCTGCAAATTGTAGTCGTTTGCTTTTAAGTATAAGAAAATTTAATCTCTGTATAAATTTCATATTAGTTTTACAACATTCGGTTTTCAGTATAAAATCATACGTAACTATTATTCTCTGTATATGCTGAGTTTAATATCGGAAAATGCCCTTAATTTAGGCAATCCCTATAGTAACAATCAATGTACAATATTCACTAGATAACAAATTTCCTGCATTATTATTTGCCACAGAACTATTCATGCATTGTTATTCACTGCATAATTAATTCCAATTCCTGTATTAATAATTTCCACATAACTAGGCTGTAAACCAAACGACCCTTACAGTATTGTTCTAAACCTTTCAAAATTTATTGGAATATGCTAAGCAACTCAATTTTACTTCACAAAATACTACCACAATTGTCGGAAGTATGGTTGCAGATCCCTTTAAGTTTTCAATTTAACATTTCGCCCCTATAATGTAATTCATTAATCAAGAAACCAATTTTCTTGTGATGACTGATGACTAGTGTAATGGCATCACTGAATTTTGTTGTTCTTTTTGTCGGATGAACTCATTGTAGGATGAAACAGGCGTCTATAAAAATCTATTACAGGAGATAGCGCAAAGAGTCGGAGCTCCTTTACCTCAGTACACAACATATAGGTCGGGACTTGGGCACCAACCTGTGTTTACAGGAACAGTAGAATTGGCTGGAATCACGTTTACTGGTGAACCCGCAAAGAACAAAAAGCAAGCTGAGAAGAATGCTGCCCTCGCAGCTTGGTCATCGTTGAAACAATGTAAGTCTCCCACTCAATTAAGCAGATATATACTTCGAGTAATTAGGCAGAGTTCTATAGTTGATATTTTCCTGCATGTGCTGCCCGCGGTCAGTGTAAGAGTGCACCAAACTGGTATGTGTTACTAGTGTCCAGTAGTGTGGTAGTAGGTTCATATGTGCTCCTCCTTTTTATTCCTGTTTTTCAGAAATATTTGTCTTTCCTGTGCTCCTTATATTTCTGTAAGTATCAGAGATTCGAGGGGAAGGAGCTTCATACGTATCACTGCTAATTTATAGATTAAAATGCTTCAGTATCAATTCTCCTTTGTCGTTTGGAGGTTTAGCCACTACTACAATATTTGGCAGAGAACATTGGCATGATGAAGAAAAAGGACAACGGAAAGAAAGAATACTCTTAACTGTCAATCAGGCCTGGTATAGGCTTGCTAATAGGCATAATACATAAACAGGCCTTCAAACTTGGCCTTAAACAGGCCTTTAGCTGGCAATTTTGCCCTCCAACTTTGGATGTGCACAAGTAGGCACCTCAACTTGTATAAAGTTGAACAGGTAAATACAAATGCCGATGTGGCACATAAATTTGGGAGGTGTCTAAATGATCATTTTGTAAGTTGGAGTGTTTAACTGACAAAGTGGAGACAAGTTGAGGTGCCTACTTGTGCACACTCGAAGTTGGAGGGCATATTTGCCAGCTGAGGCCAAGTTTGAGGGTCTGATTATGTGTTATGCGTAGCTAATAAGATAAATTCAAAATTTAAAAGAATTTCGTATCAATTGCCTTAGTGTCCAACATGAAGTTTGCTAATGTTAGGTGTTAGAATGCATGAATTCTCCCATTTAAAGCTACAAGAAGGTTGCCTTTTACTTGTAGTAGTACATACATTCATCTTATTATTAGTTAGTATTCAGTTGGCATATACTCTTGCTTCTTAATGTTTTCTCCCCAGTCCCCATGGGAAACTCAAAATGTTGTATAACTTGTTCATTCAGATTTCCAGTAGAAAATTTCAACAATGAAAAAAATTGGTGTAGCAAAAGAGTCATTTTGAAGAAGGCAACAAGTGCATTTCCTATTTTTCGACCTATCCTTTCTGTTTACCTCTTGCCGGCCAAAAGATACCCAACTTTCCTTCTCTCTTTTTCTACAGATTTAGCATAGACTTGATGAAATTGGACCATTTAAAATAACATTGTCAGACTAGCAGCTGATACTTTTGCATCTACAACCTATTGCTGAAAGCTCATACTTCATGCTACTCATCAATTATAAGATAATTGATGAAAAAACACATTTCTCATAGCGCTGGACAGTTTTACTGGGCTAACCAAATAATTAAAAGCACGAACTGTACATCCTGCCCTGTTTAGTTTATTCAAGAAACAGATTTTGGTTTCTGTAAATCAGACAAATTCTTTTTGGGATTTAAAAAAAAAACTAAATATAGGTTTTCCCAAAATAATGCAAAAAGTTCTTGAAACATTTATGCTTAAACTAATCCAAACACATAACTTCTACCCATTATTTTGGGCTGGCTTCTGATGTTTCGCTATTGAGATAAATTTCCTTTTGCTCCTCATTATGCTGCTGATATTATAAATATATACAGGTCGTTGTTTCTTTCTTAAAAAAAGTAGATTATTTTTCCTTGGGCAATAAAAGTTTTTTTTTCTTTACAGTGGCACAGCAAGATGCAAGTTCATCATCTGAATCAGAGAACAACGATGAGCAAGAACAGATCAGAATAGCGAGGGCTTTACTAAACTATCGGTTGAAGGAAAAGTTAGAAATGGCCAAATCCGGCAATGTCTCAATATCATTCCAGAAGAAGTTTCCAATTCCAACTCCTCGACCATCTAGTCCACAGCGCCCTGCAGCCACTACATCCAAACTCCTCCCTTTAATCTGTCCGAATACAGTTACTCGTTACAGATCGTCCTCCTCCACGGCAATAAATGACAGCAATTCCTCATTTTCACAGCCTATGCCACAATCACAGACTTCATCATCAGAAGGCCGCGCAGCTCCATATATGCCAGTTAGACCATATAGGACACCTTACCGCGGTATTGCTCCACCTGTTACAATAAGAACATCAGTGCCAGTTTTCTCTGCACCGCCTCGTCCACAGCCTACCGGATGCGCGCCTCAAATGATGCAAGCCCGACCTGTTCGAGTTGCACCACCTGTCTGTGTTAGGCAGGCTATCCCAGTATTTGCTGCTCCACCAGCCAAAAAGGAAACCGTGGCACATGCTACAACGCCAAG